GGCATTTATAACCAAGCATGTACATGTACATTGGACATTTTGACTCTACTAATGATACATGGTACATGTACTAATGGTAGCATTTTCATTGGTTTGAGATGATTTACATGTACATGTACATACACTATGTTCAGTTGTACATTGGTCACTCTTTCTTTCCTTTCTCTTTCTCTCTATACACAGGATGACTGAGTATACAAGAAACCAAAATAACTTTTTATTTTTCAATTTTAGTTCAAGTCATGACACTATTACTTTTAGCATCAGTGAATGATAATTAAAATGTATCATTGTTTGTTAGAAAAATAATGGTGTATACACAGTATACTGATGTACAGTGTATTACAATAAGTTTGTGTGTGAGTGTGTTATTGGTTCTTTATGATTTAGCATCCCACCTCCATACAGTTCCATTATCACAAACACCAATGATAGTCCTACACAGTAAAAAACAATAATAATAATAAGATATGAAGTTTCAATGAATAATACAATCAGAATACTATACTCAATATATGAATGTTTTGTAACTTTTCACCAGTCTAAAATCTTAATTTCTTGTTCAAATCATTATTTTTTGTTATAAAAACTTTCATAATACCCATGTGGAAGAAAAATTTTATATTTTATGAACAAAAATTTTATTCAACAACATGCCCAGACAAATTTATAAAATTTTTGACCAATGAAAATTTATTTATTTAGTCTATGATGCATAGTCAGTGTGTGTGTGTGTGTGTGTTGGTTTACTTGCTGTCGTTGCTGAAGGTGACTTGTCTCACTGCAGTGAAGCATTTAGCTGAAGAGAGTATCACTGATGGACGTCCCTTGATGACATCATTCTGTGTGGTGTCCCATATGTATATCTCAGTTACCAATCTGGTTACCAAGGGCTAGGTACTAAATAGAAAAAAAAATGATATTTTCACAACAATGTGCAAGTGGCCAAATATAAAATATACAAAGCAGTTTAGACATCAAAATGTGACATTAAGGAAGTTGTGGTTTATATTTTAAGATTTGCCAAACTAATACACACAAACATGTGTAAAAGGAACAGATTTGTTGAAGTTAAGTTTCCCTGCGGTTGTTGTTGTTGTGGTTGTTATTGCATCTCATAATCTATATACATGCATAATATACTACTACATGTTATGCATAATATACTACATGTTATGTATACGTCGTACATGTATATGCCAAATATTGACGACAACAAAAGATGACGTCATTCAATTTCTAATTAACCGTATACTAGATGACACAGCAATTTTGTCATGGCTACAGTCATTATGCTTAGGGTATTTTCCCTAATTATTGTCTTTCTTCTGGTTGTTTACAGGATGATAGTAACTGTTGTGCCAACAATTCTGTACACGTCTGAGCCACGGAGAAATAATTCTGGTTATGTCTACCATAATGAAATAAAATCTTTATATGTCACTTGTATTGCCATTTGGATATTGGTGACATTCATTAGTGCGTCGCTTGTTTGGGATATCATTACAAAAGGGTTGGGTCGATCAGCTTTTAAGGACTTCCACAAGATTCTTTCTCTATTCAGTATCATAGCATATGAGACTTGGATGGTTGGTTATATTTATCACACCTACGCTATAAATTTTGATTGGAGTTTCAAAATGGTAATATTCCCACCACTGCTGGCTCTCTTGGCCCATTCAATCTTTCAAACTTTCCTGTCCTATGATGAACATGTGCTAGCAACAAATGAACAAGAGATGAAGGAGCTCAAACATTACGTTGTCATAAGCCTTGGCTTCAATGCTATTATGACGTTCCACGTTCTATGCATGTTTGTCACTGCTTCAAAAATTGGAATATCAAGAGATGAAAATTTCATATATACCATCACAGTTGCATTTCTGGGACTTGGCGAAGTGATGAGTCGTATGTATGTGATGAAGAACCACTTTGAGCAACTAAAAAAAATTAATACGCTGTACGCCACACTCATGTATAGCAGAGCAGCTGTGGCATCTCATGCTAATCCTGAAGGTGAACTTGTAACTGGACTTGTTCAAGACAGAAAAGACTTTTCATACTTCACTGCACAAAATGCTGCTGTATTTGCTGTTGCAGCACTTGGTGCTATTGTTGCAGGAAACATTTGACTATGATTATAGACATTAAATATTCACACATACATGCATGTGTAAGCTGCATTTTGTTTTGTTACACCCCCAAGTTTTAGATTAATTCTTGTACTGCCCAAACCCACACCCACTCCTTGTAAAGTGGGTGTGACCACAGCAAACAAAATGGCAGCATTCAAATAGGATAGTCTTAAGCTTTTAGATAGCATAAAGATATCTTACCAACCTGATTACCAAGGGCTAGGTACTAAAAATAAGCATGTGTATAAGTGTGAAGGCCAATTCAATTTTGAAGCGAATCGGCATTTGAATTATTTATCAGTTTGCACAATTATCAAAGCTATCAATTGATTAAAAAGTGGCAGTTGCCATTTGTCAGGGCGTCTTGTTTTCCGTATAAGTATTTTGCGGTGTATGAACAACATGGCGGTGATAAAAAAAGCAAGACAACTTCTCATCTATAGTCTCTTCATCATGGTAGTTGAGAGGATGGTTGTAACTGTTTTTCAGCCACAGGAAGATGTTTTTGGCCACAATGGAGTCATAAGATATTCTGATATACTTTCCGTGGGCATTTGGATATCGGAGACATTCATTACAACCTCACTTGTTCGGGATAGTTTCAAAAGAGGATTGGGCAAGTCAGTGTCTCAGGACTACATTTTCTTGTTCAGCATACTGTTTAAGATATGGCTGTTTTATTACGTTTATACCACTTATGCTACTAATTGGATTTCCAAAGCACTAATATGGCTAGCATTACTAGCTCTCTTAATCCATTCGACTGTTCAAAAATTCCCGCCAAACAATGAAGGACTAGAAATGAAGGACCACATTAGAGCAAACTGTGCCTTCAATTACATTATGGCATTTAATGTTGTATGCATTTTTATCACTGCTTTTTCAACTGGAAGATTAAAAGAACAGAATTTGAAGTACATCGCCATTGTTGTGTTTCTGGGATTTTGTGAAATTATGTATCGGTTACACACGTGCATTGAGTATGACATGAAGAAACACGATACAAGTATACCGGAAAATCAAGCAAATATGGAAATGGAATCTGGCATTGCTAAACATAATGAATTAGTAACAGGACTGACTCAAAGCAACGACTGTCGGACTTCATTCTTAATCACACCAACAGCTGAAAAATTTGGTACCAGTATTCGTAAATTTGTTGCTGGAAAAATTTGATCGTTTTGGTACTGTACAAGATGATTTATTGGCAAGAGTAATATTTGGTTAGTTTTCTGTAAAAATTAATTTTATTGATTTTGTGCCATGTGCGATTAAGCATGCTCAGATTGAAAAAATGGTGGATTTCATACTGGCAATTTCTTCATGAAACTGCCAATTGCCAAAATTACTTCTTTGCCAATAAATCATCTTGCACAGTAATTGCATTGCCTCCGTAGCCTTTAATTAATATTCACTTACTGTACAAATAGTCTGTCAGTCCTTTGTGCATTTCTTCATTGAATTTCACAATTTTCTATTGTGCATGCATACATAATTTATAATTTTTCTCATCAGTATCCTTTCTTACAATTATTTAAATTATGTAAAATAAGTAATGAGGTAAAATCCACAGAAAGTATAATGTACATGCTACATCTACAAAGGACATTACATTAACTGTTACTAAGTCCCTTCACTATTGACCACACCCATTACTTACGTCAGCATCAGTATAACACTGGATAGGCACTATCTAATTATCAGGCACACATTGATAGACAGTAACCTAATGAATGAAGACACATAAAACAAATACAGTATACTGGGAAATTTTCGAGTAGCCAAATTTTTGCGGATTTCGCGTTTTCTTGCTCCGTCGCAAAAATAAAAATCGTGAAATTCTGAATTTCCATTGCCATGTGTTGGAGTTTACAAGCTATTCGCAAAAATATTATTTTGTGAAATCTTACAAATGTAAAATTCACAAAGATTTACCAATGCGAAAATATCCCAATATACGGTAAAACATAAATAATAATGTACATGTACATCAAGATCATTTTTCATAATTTTGGACATGAGCTTAACAAATGAAATATACATGTACATGTATATTTTATTTGACAAACAAAATATACATGTATGTACAATGATACTTTTCACCAGCAAAATATTTTAGTCTGCTAACGATGCTATTTCAATTATTAATTAATTAATAGTGGGTGTAGTTAGCTCAATTATTCAATAACCCACCCACCTTGTTGGTTCCAACTGTAGCAAATAGATTTTCTATTCTCTTCTCAGGAAGAAAAGGATTGAACTGTACCCCCAAACAAAGGTTGAGAGTGTCCCTCCTACAATAAATAAATTAAATAAAACTACAGGACACACCTTTACAAATTCCAATAGCTCTCAGTTGTAATTTTACCAGCCTACACGTGATTTAAAAATACGGGGATCCTGTATAACTCCGTATACTCCAAACACGTGGATGATAAAAATGGCTTCAACAATCCATTGGCTGATATTCTGTGCTCTTCTCTCTGTTTAAATTATTGTTGTCATCGTTTTTATCTCTTCCATATTGAATTTGATGGTGCTTACCAGATAAAGTTTGACGTTGAAGGCAAAGAAATTGAACCTAACTTTGGACAAACGGCAAAAATAAAAACCGGCCACCTCAACTCATCAGGCCCGCCTGACTAAACTCATCATATAGTAAGAATTGGAAGTCATAATGTACATACATATAGTGACCAGTGTGTCTGGAGGTGTGTGTGTATAAGTAATGTAATACCTGAGGACTGAGATATCTGCTTGAGATGAAGCTGGGGGCAGATACAGCTATTGCATTACTGATACTATCATGTTAACTATTTTTTTCATTGTTACTAAAGAAACTGTTGCCAAGGGAACGCCAGACACATTGAGTTATGCCGAAGTGTGTGAAAGAGTTCATTCTGATCTGGTTGGGTTTGAGACAGCCAGTCATTCTCAGTCGATTTGTTTCTGGGGAGAGAATGAGAGCTATGATCATGTGGAGTGTAGCCCAGGACAAAGAATTAGACTAAAGACTAGAGGAGACTCTCTACTGATAGGTGAGGGAGGAACTACATGTACATGTAGTACCGTACAAGATGATTTAATGGTGAGAGTAACATAGGCGGATCTAGGCCCGGGCAATGCCCGGGTAGATTTTACTCGAGACCACACCCATTGGTGTGGTTTGGCTATAATAAGGGCTGGGTTGCATGACAATACTGTTATAATCTTATCACAATACATCTGAACAACCACAAACCACACAGTAATAACAATATACATAGCTTCTGATAGCAAAGCAGGAGGTTAAGTGGTGAATAATTAACCAATTTGACCACACCCCTCATGAATATTAATGAGCCCGGGTGGTCTTGGATTTCTAGATCCGCCTATGGAGAGTAATATTTGGTGAATTTGCCTGTGGAAAGTTAATTGGTGAATTTTATATTAGTGATTTTGTGCCACATTCCATTGAGCATGCTCAAATTGAAACAAAAATGGCGGATTTTATTTTGACAATTTCTTCATAAATCCGCCAATTGCCAATTATTAACTCCTCGTCAATAAATCATCTTGTACGGTATATTGTAGCTGCTCACCACATCTCTTAATATTTTCCTTTCTTCCCTTTTACATACACAATGTACATGTACATGTACATGTATGCACAGATTGCACACATACACACACACTCTCTTTCTCCTTTGTTTTATTTCTTCTATAACACATCAACATGTACATGCATTTACATGTACATGTATTAACACATGTATATGTATCGTACATGTATTGCACTCTAGTCTCATCTCTTCTCTTCTCTCCATAGAGTCATTCACAAAGCTGGATAGTTATCAGCGAGCTCACTCATCAAACTACACTGGAGGGGAGAAGACAGGACAGAGCTGGACTGATAAGGTACTCGGACACAAATTAACTGATCAACCCAGCCAGGGAACAGGAGGAGGAGGAGGAGGGGAGGTTGATGATGATGAATGGGTGAGTTTGTATATTCTTATCTTATGTTCTTATACATTGTAAATTACATCTACTATTATTTTAGATACCTGCATGAGCATGTGCATGTACACATACTGTATAGTGAGAAATTTTGGAGGGAATTAAATTTTGTGAATTTGGCATTTTCATAGCCATTCACCAAGATAAAATCTGCCATTTTGAGCTATTACTGTATAGCGGGTATATTTTGTCTGGAAAAATGTTCGTTCTAAGCAGGATTAGAAATTTTTGTTCATTTTATTTTCGTTCTGAGCAGCCATTTTGCACACATGGCATTGAGGAAATGCCCTTTTTGTTTGGAAAATGTTCGTTCCACAAGGAATGAGAATGAAAAGAACGAAATTAAACTCGAATGAAATATACCTGCTATACGGTATAGGCATGCTCAATGGTACATGGCTACTAATTAAAACTTGCTAATCACTAAAATGTAGCAATTTACCAAATTTAACTTCGTCCAAAATTTCCCGCTATACAGTATA